GGTTGCTGGACATCGATGTGAAAGCTTGGATTTTGAAAGCTTAGGTTTAAGCCGTTGGGTCCTAGGGTGGTTTGAAGTCAAAACCGATCTGAGCTCCCTCGACCTCATGTGCCGATCCCCAAGCATGATTGTTTTCTCAATCAGAACATGCAGACATAGCAGTTCGATGAAAGGCTTAGTGCACCCCCGTTGCAAAGGGAATGTGTCCACTGTGGCCTGCCACAGTGCCACAAGGGTGCAATCTGCGGTGCTTAAATCCTGGAGTCAGCTAGCTGCTTTAGGTCTGTGTGACCTTTTGCTTATCCGCTTCTGTGGACAAATGCCTGCGTGATGTGTCTGCAGATCCGAGCTCTACTTCTGTATGACCACTTGTAATTGTAATCAATCCCCTCCGTCAGGTCAAGATCACGCTCTCGGTCCCGTGCCGGCCACGCCAGCGCAGGTGCCCTGGACCGTTTGGGGCCTCGGCCCCAAATCGAGAAAACCCCAAACCGCATAACCCCAGAATAGCCACCCCAAAAGGGTCTAGGGGCCGGGTTTTCGATTTAGGGTGGGGCTGTCTTCGAGTTTCGAGTAAACCCTACTTGGAGGATCATGGGACTCAGTAAGTGGGGTTATAAATACGGTAACTATACTTATATGTACTTATAACCCCAATTAAGGCACTTATAACCCTATATACTTACTAAGTCCCATGATCCTCCAAGTACCAAATCTTCGACCCTGAACCTTACAGATTTCTGGCTCCGGCTTAGGGTTACACAAGGAATGACTGGTGCATAAGTCTGGCCCTTCGGGCCTGGGGCTTCAGAGATAACAAAGCAACCTGGGGTCTGATAGGCTTTATAGTGTTTATTGTTTAGAACAAATTGGGATAATGCTGGGCTGAGTGTGCCTGAAACGCTTAAGGGTCGGAAGGCTTTAAGGTTTGGGGCTTAGGCTTTGGATAAGTCTGCGTTTATGTATACGTACGTCCGTTATGAATCGATCTATGTGTATATATATATATATATACATATATATATATATATTTATATTTATATATATATATATATATTATGTATATTATATATATACAGTAGAAGCCAGAAAGTTGGAACATGGCTTTAGGAGGATTAGTGCTAGGATCCCTTATACTTTACCTTAAGGGCATGAGGATAATGATGTTCCATCATTCCGGCTTCTACTGTATATATATATATATATGCTGACGATGACGATGATGACGATTCGATGGTGCAGGGTGATAGTGATGATACTGTTGATGCTGATGAATGATAATTTAGTGATGTCGGTGTTGATGGTATGATATGATGGTGATGAAGGTGGAATGCGACGATCTAGGTATGAAGCTGGATCATACTGGCGACTCTCACACGTCATACTATGCCATACTGTACTCTGTACGTGGTCTGTAGCTACTATGTACAGGTTCTGTGTATTCTACTACTCTCGACTAAAGTTGTCGAGCTCTCTTGGATTCAAGTCTCAGTGCCGCAGGCTCCAAATCGTTGAATCCCAAAACCGAAAGCCTTACATCCCTCAAATCGTAAATCCCCCCCAAACCCTGCAATCGATGTTGCGAACTGTTCCGCACGTGCTGCTCGAAGCCCCAAGTATAGCCCGACATATTGATTCCCAAGGCTTTTTAAATCCTGAAACTCAAAACTCAAGCCCCCAATGCAGCTTATAATCCGCACAATCTAATCGCAAACAGCGACAGGAAGCTCAAGAAAGCTCTCAGCATTTACGATCTAGTGTACATGAGCAAAAGCCTTCGACACCCCAGGTTTGCAGCGATGGTCAAGATCCAGAGATGGAGCTCTACTGGACTTACCATCTACAGATCGACAAGGCCCGCTATATTACAACCCAAGGCTTTGAAAAGCAGTGATGAAACCTTGCATACCCTCCAAAAATTCTTTCGCTCTTGGCCTATACTCGGTTTCTGTGTTATGCAAACAAGCCGCGCAAGAATGACACCGATTTACCATTAGTCACAACACCCGCGGCGAACAGGCACGCTACGACGATCGCGGTCGAGATCACGCTTCTCATCCCGTGGTGGCGAAGGAGCATCATGCATGCATGCATGTCGGATACTGCATGCGAGAGTTGTCTGTGTGCATGATCGAGTCAACACTACGAATTCATACCATATGAAGTTGTGACGTTGTGACAAAAATTTTACTCACACCGGCTTTGCATCCAGGAATGTGGGCAGTGGAAAATGCGAATGCCGCTTCACTGCGGATTTTCCTCAAAATCTGCTCTGGTGCATTCTGTTCGAAACTTGCAGTACTGCTTTCAGATTCAGTTCATAAGTTAAGATGGAGCTTTGGCCTAGCTCATTGTTCGCGTGTTCCGCTTCAGGCACTTTCGGTGGCAGATGGTTGCCGGGATGCGGCTGCGTTGATGCTTGATGGATCCTTCTGCCCTCTTGCAGAGCTTATGGCTATGTGGGGTCGGAGTGGTCATGGTGAAAGATCCTTTCAAAGGTGCCACGTTGCAGCAGAATGTTTTTTTGGGCATTGTAGGTCGGTTCACATGGTTTTTAATATTAGCCCCCTCCAGATTTGATCCCGAAGGTGGTGCCAAAAGCGTTGCCGAATTCAGCCTGGCCAAATACAGTTGACTTTCAAGGATGATGAAGGTGAGCGAAAAATGGATCACGCTGTGCTTTGGCCCTGGGACGTCCTGAACTACCTCTACAGTTCAAACAAACTGGAGACATGGATCTATGACCCACCAGAGCGAGCATCCTTCCATGTGACTGACACTTGGGTCGAACTGCTAGAACTTGTGAAGTTTCTGCTTGCTGTTTTAAGAAATGTAGAACAGTTTTGCGAGGTTCCTGTATATAACCTAGGAATACTGGAAAAATGTGCAACACTTGGAGTTCTACCAAAACCTTGGATTGCGGAAAGAAGATTGGCCGCACTGCATTCCGCTGTCCTGGCATGTGGACGGTGTGAAAGTGTATCGGTCACAGAAAGCATGGGTGTATAGTTTTGGATGTTGCACTCGCAAAGGAGCTTCGATCGACACGAAAATGTTGTTTCTCCTTTTCCGTGAGCAGCAAATGGCCAAACCTGCAACCCACGACGATGTGGGCACCTTGATTGCATACGTGCAGCGGGTGCTCATGACAGGTCTGTATCCTGATACTCAGTGGAATGGTGCTCCTTGGCCAACGAATGGTGTGGAAGCTGCTAGGGCTGGAAAACCGTTTGCTGGAGGTTGGCGTGCATACTTTGCAGCTTTCAAGGCAGATCTCGAAGCTCGGGTTTTGGTCCACAAATTGGTGAGGTCTTGGAACTGCAACAGCATTTGCGAACATTGCCTTGCTTCCAAATTGCCTGCACTCAGCTATGGAGATTTCACTGATGGAGCTGCGTATATGCAGTATATGCTGAGTCACGATGAGTTTCTGGAGCTGAACCCACCAGGCCGGCAGTCAACTTGGATTGCTGTGCCCGGGTGGACAAAAGACAGAAACCTCGATGTGCCGTGGATTTTCAAGCTTTTGTGTGTTTTGGTTTTTGAAACGTGAAGTGGACTCAAAGGCCCTTTTCTCTGTGGTTTCAACTACATAAGTGGGGGAAGCAAACATGTAGGAAGGGATGGCACACGCAAATCGGCCAACCAAGGATATGCTGCATGTGGTACATCAGGGAATTGGCCCTATCCTGATCGGATCCTTGCTGTCGGACCACTACGAGCAGCTGCACGACTACAAACTTAAATTGAAGCAGCTGGACCATTTGTTGCAGAACGATGCTTGGCCGCACTACAAGAAATGGATGCGGGAGCGGAAGTTACCAAGCTGCAGCATGCAGTTTACCTTGCTTCGCATTGGACGGGAGAGTTGGCAACGCTATCCAGAAATGGCATCCTGTTACAAGGCAGCTGTTATAAAGGCGATGCTTTATTGGATTGCATCGTTTCTTCTTGAACACATGCGTGATGATCAACCAGATTCGGTCTTGAGGGCCGACGTGGCCCATGCCATGGTGCAATTCCACTACGTGCAGGACTCCAATGGGCCTTGGCTCACACCGCCAGCAGCGGGAGAGATGGCTTTGAGTGGGCGAAGGTTTTTGCTGCTGTACCAGCTGCTAGCAGTGCAAGCGCAACGAGCCGAGCGTCATCTTTATAAACTGGTCCCCAAATTCCATGTGTTTTTGCACATGTGCCTGCGCCTACCTCACGAGCTGCGGAATCCCAGATACGATCACCTCTACATGGAGGAAGATTTCATGAAAGAAATCGGTCGCATAGCATCGCGAACGCATGCGCGAACAATGGGATCGGTGACATTACTTCGTTATCGGGCCTTGTTGGAATGCGGAGGTTTAGGGCCTCACAAGCAGGCCAAGAACCCTCACAGCTACCTGTGAAAGGCAATGTTTGTGACAGTAATTACGTCCTTGAAAATAACTAAAGACCCTGAGCACCAACCCTAAGACCCAGGAAGCCTTCCGGAGGTAGTGCTTGGATCGGGCTGGGAGCCCGGCCGATGCCGAGCAGAGATCTTGGAAAACGTCCACGACCAGCTCTTTAGGCTTAGGGATTTAAGGCCAGGGCAACGGCTTTGGATTTGTTTTTAACATAGGATGACGGGGTTCAAAAGCCACGCAAGGCATTTCGGGTCACCGGGATTCTGACCCTTATAATCCTATGTATCCCATATATATATATATACACAAATATAGATAGCCATTTAGTATGTATTTTAAGTTGTTCTGGCTAAACTTTAAAGCCTGGGTTTTGTCCAGGGAAACCCCGGACTGTAAGCCCCCAATCCTACACCTTACTGGAAGTTTTGGGGATTTGGGCTTTGGAGTTCAGTACCTGGGGTTTTGCTTTTCGGAGGGTTGCCCAAGACTTGTGTCGGCCTAAACGGTTAGAAGTTTCGGGGAAATGAGGTTTGGGGCTTTCTTTATGGATCCTGGGATTTGCCTGGGGCTTCGTCGGATTTATCACCCCAAGAACCCGAA